TTTGGATGCGATTAATCGCGATTAATCGTTTGACAGCACTAGTTTTTATTATTTTCTACAGGTTATTTTTAGGGTTTCTCCATTGCATTAATTTCAGTTTTAGTATAACATTATAAAACCATGCATACTTTTACTTTTTTTTTTTATTTAAAGAAGAAACCAATCCAATGTATATTTGACATTTGAGGCTTAATACTAGAGAAAAGCAATAAAAGTGAGTGTTTTCAGCTTGTTTATTTTCATATGAATATATGGCATGCTGTTGCTTCAAACAATGGTATAAAAACATCATGCAATGTAAATTGTGATAATCATAATTAATAATCGCAATTGCAATTTCAAGGGAATAATCGACAATTAAGATTTTTGTCATAATCGTGCAGCCCTAGTTTGTAATGTATTAATGCTGTATTGTCATAGTGCTCGGTTTAAATCTGGCCAATAGGAGAGTTTGCATTTGGAGACGATTATAAAGAAATTATTATCTGCGTGGACTGATGTTACCGTCTGTGATCTGATTGGACGAGAGAGCAGAACTGTGTGTGATGTCACAATCGGAAGAGTGTACAGAGCTCCGCCCACCACCTACAGATGAACAAATACTGCTGTGTGCTATAACACACACTCCATTCACACACACACACACACGGTCAGCGCTCTGGATCTCAGCATCAGATGTGCCTTTGTTTCTGAATGATTGTGTGTGTGTCATCAGGGAATCAGGATGTTGTCATTATTATTAATGTACTAATATATCTTTTCCATTACATTATTATCATATTGATTCATTCATGTGTGATCAGGAACAGTCTCTCTTACATTCATTCTCAATGGAAATTAATGTGCATATTTAAAATAAATGTTTATATTTCATGTTTTGCAGACAGTTTACAGTGAATGTCCAGATGGAGGAGAAAGAAAGAAGCACACATTTTTTTACTTAAATATATTTGTTTAAAAAAAAAAATGTACACAGAGACATGCATGCATACATTATACTGTTAACATTTATAGGGCTCTGTGATATGAACACATAAACAATCTCTAGAACTGCTCTGAGTCACTTCATGAGCATTTGACCGTTTCATTTGAGAGAAACTATCGTCATATCATACGCACACAGAGATTTATTCACGTCAACCCGTCAAAATAAAAGTCCGGTTTAACTTGAAGAAATTATTGTGCCTGAAATATATTACTGTTGATCAGTAGAATGTACGTAATACTACTACTACTACTAAAATTATTAAAACTTTATTTTTTAAGGAATAATTACACAATATTTCTTTCATGTTTTAATGTTAATCGTAAATCCCCTTTGTTTACCAAAAGTTTAAGTTTGTTTAATTTTTATTTGGTTAACAGATTAATTAAAATAATGTTTTATGCCTTCATTTGATAAGCAGAAAAATACAAAACAACGAATTTCTGAGGGAAGGGGGAGACAATATTTCATAGGCTATTGTAAAAATTAATTTAAATAAATTTTGTTAAACTTTTAATAAATTGATTGTATAAGTTTAATCATTTTAATTAATTAGACACATTTTTGATTGATAAAATGTAATTTAACCATTAATAAAAGTCCAGAGAAATTAAAATGGAAAAAAACCTGAATTTGAAAAAAAATAAAATGGATTTCATAGGGCCCTACAGTTATTTTTTGCTTTTCCTCCCTTATATTATCTATAATTTAGTGATTTTAGTCTGTCTTGCTACTGGTCTTCCGTTTTTATTTAGTAAAAAAAAATAAAAGCGTGTTTATAACATATTTTAAAGCTGTTGGTGCACATAAAACCATACATTTCAGAAAAATCTGTGCTGGAATCGTGACCCCAGAATGAACCCAATAGAGAGAGGTTCACACGTGATTGTCGAGATGAGGAAGTGTTGCTCACACGCGTGTTCAGCGTGACGTGGTTAATCATTAGCTCTTCCTGCTTCACGAGATAACTATGAGAATGATCGCGATCTCGTTTGTTTGTTTGTTTCACCTGAGACGTTCAGGAATGTGTGGAATGTGATGACATCACCTGAGCAGCAGTCACATGCTCACATTGGTTCTGGGTTCCTGTTTGAGTGACGTCTCGCTGAAACCTTACTTGGACGAACATGTCCCTTCCGACGTCATTACTCACCTGTGTGATGTTTTTCTGTTTTGAACCTGCTAAACGTTCAGGAGCTCACAGGTGCTTCAGGTGGGGTGCTGTGAGTCCCGTCTCGCTCTCGAGTGGCCCGAGATTCTCAACAGTGTACTTACACACTCTGTTTGCTGATATTTTATGAGTAGTATGCGATGCTGAATACAGCCACAGACACATGAGCGTGATGCAGGGGAATTTCTGGAGGAGGAAATGCATGTGTTTCCCGCACAGATCAGCATTTCATATCAGACACACGCCTCCTTAATGCAGTAAATCTGTAAAAGGAAAATTGTGAATAGGCTATTCTAATAATTTAGCCTCGTTCGACCCACAAAATACAGTGGCTGCAGTGGATCATGTTTATGGACATAATATAAACATAAAATGCTGTACATTTTCCTTCTTGTTAGTAGAGCTGGTTTTGAGTCGAAAGCATACTAGACGGTTATGAAACGTGTTTTCAGAAATCTTGCGATTTTTCTGGAAATTTTCAGGAGTGTTGGAGGTAGTTTACATGAACTTTTGTTACCAGTCAGGTACTGTATGTTCTTTGCATTAAACTGCATGTGTGTGTATAACTATTTATGCAATTTGTAAAATTATTTTTGTTTCAAATGTTTTAACAGACAGTCCTGTTATTCCTTTGCTTTGAATAAACAGTTTAATGTGCTGCTTGATTTGGTTTGTTTGTTTAAAGTGCCCTCTTGTGGTAAGCAGCATTTTCCCCTGACTAAAATTTCCTGTAAAATTTGAATATTAGTCATTTTTACGTTTTAAGTTAAAATTGTAGTGAATGTAGTTTTTTGGGCTATCGGCAGCGTTCCTGCTGTTTCATGTGCTCGTGTGTTTAAATACACGTGTGTGTGTGTGTGTGTGTGTGTGTGTGTGTGTATAAATGAGTGCGTGTGTGTGCGCGTGTGTGAGTAAATGAGTGTGTGTGTGTGTGTGCGCGTGTGTGTGAGTAAATGAGTGTGTGTGTGTGTGTGCGCGTGTGTGTGAGTAAATGAGTGTGTGTGTGTGTGTGCGCGTGTGTGTGAGTAAATGAGTGTGTGTGTGTGTGTGCGCGTGTGTGTGAGTAAATGAGTGTGTGTGTGTGTGTGCGCGTGTGTGTGAGTAAATGAGTGTGTGTGTGTGTGTGCGCGTGTGTGTGAGTAAATGAGTGTGTGTGTGTGTGTGCGCGTGTGTGTGAGTAAATGAGTGTGTGTGTGTGTGTGCGCGTGTGTGTGAGTAAATGAGTGTGTGTGTGTGTGTGCGCGTGTGTGTGAGTAAATGAGTGTGTGTGTGTGTGTGCGCGTGTGTGTGAGTAAATGAGTGTGTGTGTGTGTGTGCGCGTGTGTGTGAGTAAATGAGTGTGTGTGTGTGTGTGCGCGTGTGTGTGAGTAAATGAGTGTGTGTGTGTGTGTGCGCGTGTGTGTGAGTAAATGAGTGTGTGTGTGTGTGTGCGCGTGTGTGTGAGTAAATGAGTGTGTGTGTGTGTGTGCGCGTGTGTGTGAGTAAATGAGTGTGTGTGTGTGTGTGCGCGTGTGTGTGAGTAAATGAGTGTGTGTGTGTGTGTGCGCGTGTGTGTGAGTAAATGAGTGTGTGTGTGTGTGTGCGCGTGTGTGTGAGTAAATGAGTGTGTGTGTGTGTGTGCGCGTGTGTGTGAGTAAATGAGTGTGTGTGTGTGTGTGCGCGTGTGTGTGAGTAAATGAGTGTGTGTGTGTGTGTGCGCGTGTGTGTGAGTAAATGAGTGTGTGTGTGTGTGTGCGCGTGTGTGTGAGTAAATGAGTGTGTGTGTGTGTGTGCGCGTGTGTGTGAGTAAATGAGTGTGTGTGTGTGTGTGCGCGTGTGTGTGAGTAAATGAGTGTGTGTGTGTGTGTGCGCGTGTGTGTGAGTAAATGAGTGTGTGTGTGTGTGTGCGCGTGTGTGTGAGTAAATGAGTGTGTGTGTGTGTGTGCGCGTGTGTGTGAGTAAATGAGTGTGTGTGTGTGTGTGCGCGTGTGTGTGAGTAAATGAGTGTGTGTGTGTGTGTGCGCGTGTGTGTGAGTAAATGAGTGTGTGTGTGTGTGTGCGCGTGTGTGTGAGTAAATGAGTGTGTGTGTGTGTGTGCGCGTGTGTGTGAGTAAATGAGTGTGTGTGTGTGTGTGCGCGTGTGTGTGAGTAAATGAGTGTGTGTGTGTGTGTGCGCGTGTGTGTGAGTAAATGAGTGTGTGTGTGTGTGTGCGCGTGTGTGTGAGTAAATGAGTGTGTGTGTGTGTGTGCGCGTGTGTGTGAGTAAATGAGTGTGTGTGTGTGTGTGCGCGTGTGTGTGAGTAAATGAGTGTGTGTGTGTGTGTGCGCGTGTGTGTGAGTAAATGAGTGTGTGTGTGTGTGTGCGCGTGTGTGTGAGTAAATGAGTGTGTGTGTGTGTGTGCGCGTGTGTGTGAGTAAATGAGTGTGTGTGTGTGTGTGCGCGTGTGTGTGAGTAAATGAGTGTGTGTGTGTGTGTGCGCGTGTGTGTGAGTAAATGAGTGTGTGTGTGTGTGTGCGCGTGTGTGTGAGTAAATGAGTGTGTGTGTGTGTGTGCGCGTGTGTGTGAGTAAATGAGTGTGTGTGTGTGTGTGCGCGTGTGTGTGAGTAAATGAGTGTGTGTGTGTGTGTGTGTGTGTATAAATGAGTGTGTGTGTGTGTGTGTGTGTGTGTGAGAGAGAGTGTGTGTGTCTGTGTGTGTGTGTATGTGTGTGTCACAGCTGAATCACAGTGTGGAAATGGAAAAATGGACAGTTTTCAAACAGTTTTTCCTGTCTGCCATTGGTCAGACCAGCACACAGTCCCGGCCCAAACACATTTGTCTTGATAGTCCTACCCAGAAGCCTCTGAAGTGCTTTTAGACACGTGTTCCCTTTATAATCTGAGATTGTGTCTGTGGTTCAGTCGGCAGATGCCTGTGTATAACGGAGATCACCGCTGGCAGCAGCTCAACCCGAGCCCCGGCGGGCCATACCTGGCGTACCCAATCCTGTCGTCCCCACAGCCCCCCGTCACCAGCGATTACCCCACATACTACCACACCATCATGCCCACGCCCTGCCCTCCTGTCATGGGCTTCTACCAGCCCTTCCCAGGGCCGTATACGGGGCCCCTGCAGGCTGGCGTTCTGAACCCCGTGTCTGACTGCAGCGAGCGGCCGCTGCCGCAGAGCCAGACGCAGAGAGGAAGAGGCGTCTCACGAAACCCTGTCCCACACAAGGTACGAGACGGCACCTGAACCCACACACTCAGGATGTGACCGCACTGCTCACTAGTGTAAACTAACGCTCACTTGCGTCACTCACAGCAGCCAGTGAGAGCCAAGCGTCTCATGATGCAGAGCGTGGCGGTACAGAAGGAGGTGCGTGCCGCCGGGCCTGATGGGAGATCCAAGACAGTGCTGTTGGTGGATGCGGCACAGCAGACAGGTACTGAGCTGACCTTTGACCTTTAGTCCTGAACTAATGACCCCTGAGCACACTGCTCCGCGTGTGTTTTCAGATTTCCCCGGCGAGGCATCTGGCAGTGTCAGATGTGCGTCGGATCAGGCGAGTCCTCAGCAGTGGAAGAAAGCTCAGCGCAGACGCACGTCTCAGCAGGAGTCGTCCAGCGAGCAGGGAGCCAGCGAGGCTGACATCGACAGCGACAGCGGCTACTGCAGCCCCAAACACAACCAGGGAGCCGCCAACACCTCCACCAATCAGCACACGGCCGCCACGGTACGTTCAGCTCGTCTGGCCTGAGACACATGTCTTTTTGATTTCATTATGGTGAGGGTTGTTGTGGTTGCTGTTCTCTCATCTGTGTGTGTGTGTGTGTGTGTGTGTGTGTGCAGGCTGTGGACCCTGGCGTCATGACAGGTAAGATCCTTCACTTCCACCTGAACTCTCATGAGTGACCGCAACATGATCAAAAACTCAACACCTCCACCAATCAGCACACGGCTGCCGCGGTACGTTCAGCTCGTCTGGCCTGAGACACATGTCTTTTTGATTTCATTATGGTGAGGGTTGTTGTGGTTGCTGTTCTCTCATCTGTGTGTGTGTGTGTGTGTGTGTGTGTGTGCAGGCTGTGGACCCTGGCGTCATGACAGGTAAGATCCTTCACTTCCACCTGAACTCTCATGAGTGACCGCAACATGATCAAAAACTACACACCAAGAACTAAAGCTGCAACCGTAAAGTTGTGATAATCGCTCAAACTCTAAGAGAATAGTGAGTCCACACCACGACTATAACGATAACAACACAGAGGAATGATATCACTGGAGTCACTTTCAAAGCAGTGAACTGTTCAAACATTGACAGCCAATCTGAATCCATCTGACTTTAAAGAGCTTCAGCATTTAAAGCAGCAGATGATAAAACTGAAGTGCTCTGATAATAAACAGAACGATAACGTCTGTTATCGTTATTGTTCAGTTATCGTTATAATTGTTGTTATAGTGATCATCATAGTTATTATAGTTAGTTATTGTTTTATTTGTCATCATAGTTATCATTATAGTTATCATTATAGTTAGCCTCATAGATATCGTTAAAGTTATCACTGTAGCTATTGTTAATGTTATAGTTGTAGTTATCGTTATGGTTCCTATAGATATGATAACTTGTGTGTGCGTGTGCAGCTGTTAGCTGGGGGAATGTAGCCTCACAGACCGTCCAGAAGCCGTGGACAGACAGGAACACAGCGTATCACAGAGGCAGAACACCTGAGCAGAGGAACTACACACAGGTAACACTCGAGTGTCACTCACATCACATGACATGCTGTTTTGACAAATCTGACTTATTCTACATCATCTGACCCACAGGACTTCCATATGAGCTTTAACCTTCCGGAGAATTCTCCCATAAGCATTGTGCAGACGCCCATCCCCATCACCAGCTCTGTGCCCAAGAGAGCCAAGAGTCAGAGGAAGAAGGCGCTCGCCGCCGCTCTCGCCACAGCGCAGGAGTACAACGAGATCAGCATGGAGCAGAAGAAGCTACAGGTACAAACACACACACACACACACACACACTCAGTCAGTCCTGATAATCAGATCTGTTGTGGTCGGAGAACTCAGCGTGAGGGGGGGTGTGTGTGTGTGTGTGTGTGTGTGTGTGTGTGTGTGTGTGTGTGTGGGTGTGTAGGAGGCTCTGTCTAAAGCAGCAGGTAAGAAGAGCAGGACACCGGTGCAGTTGGATCTGGGAGACATGCTGGCAGCACTAGAAAAACAACAACAGGCCATGAGAGCACGACAGCTCAACAACACCAAACCACTGTCATACACAGGTACACACACACACACACACACACGCACCCCAAACCACTGTCATACACGGGTATGGCCTGCTCATTCTCAGGTCATCTCAGATCAGGATGAGTTTGTTTCTTCATCAGATTTGTAGAAATGTAGCACTGCATCACAAAACCACTGTCAAATGTAAAAAACAAAACAAAAAAACAACAACTAGATCTAATAAAAATGACCAAAACACAAAAAAATTGCTAAAACCTTACTAACAAACATTAAAAGACTAGTTCAGCCAAAAATGAACACTTTCTGAAAATGTCCTCACCCTCAGTCTTTCCGAGATCAGGATGAGTTTGTTTCTTCATCAGATTTGGAGAAATGTAGCACTGCATGCAGAGCATCCATTGCTGAGACACTGATGCAGTGCTACATTTCTCCAAATCTGATGAAGAAACAATCTTATCTACATCTTAGATGAACTGAGGGTGAACACATTTTCAGTTAATATTCATTTTTGGTGAACTATTCCTTTAAAATATAAAAATAAAATCTAACACCTGTGTTGTTGTCAGTCGGGACAGTGGGCACGCTGCACAGTAAAGATCGAGTGACGGGACTTAAGAACACATACACCCCCCCTCACAACATCCTGGACTCCAGCGCGCCCCGCGTCAAGAGAGGGAAAGAGAGAGAGATTCCCAAAGTCAAGAAGACCACCGCCATGAAGAAGGTGCTCCAGAAAACACACATGCAGCACTGAGCATGACAGGATATGACATCACACAGCATTAACCCCCCTCTGTGTGTGTAGATCATTCTGCAGGAACGTGAGGTGAAGAAGGGCAAGAGTTCTGCTGAGAACAGCGTATCTGGAGCCGACGAGCAGAAAGAAGCTCTGAGCTTCACAGACCCGCTCACACAGGAGCAGGATGGTACACACTCTCTCACACACACACACACACACACTCTCTCACACACACACACACACACACACACTCACACACACACACACTCTCACACACACACACACACATTAATATTTGTATTGCAATTTTACTATTCTGTAAATTGAAATTTAAACTTTATTGTAGAATCATTATTAAATATTATTATTATTTTTTTTATATTATATTATTTTATATATTAAATGTATACTTAAATATATGAATATTTAAAATATAAAGTAATATTGTGAGATTGTGTGTGTGTTGCAGAGAACGGTCTGAGCATGCCCAGCGATGCGTCTCTGTCTCCAGCCAGTCAGAACTCTCCCTACAGCATCACACCCGTGTCACAGGGCTCGCCCTCCAGCTCCGGCATCGGGAGCCCCATGGCTGCGTCCGCCATCACCAAGATCCACAGCCGCAGGTTCAGAGAGTGAGTACACACACACACAGGGGTCAGAGGTCACTGAGGTCACAGCAGCGCAGATTTGTGCCTGATACGGCGGCCCACACTAGATCTCAGACGGGCCTTTGTGCTGCTGCTTCTGCAGGCTGTGAGTGGGTTTGGAACAGCAGAGCCGCTGTGCTGCTCAATACGATGTGTGTGTGTGTCTGGCATTTATTTAATCAATCTCTTGTATCTTTTCTCTGGGCCGCCCGTCACAGGAAGGAAAGACTAAGAACATTGCATTCAAAATATGAATTTTACGAGTATCGGCACAATAATCTATTTATTGCCTTTCTTTAAACACATTATTATGGTATCACCAATATCCAATATTGATCGACCTCTGATTCAAATGTGCTGGTGTATTAATATATTACTTATGGGTTTGTTCTGAATGGAAACACACATACAGTATTCATTTTATTTGGGCAGTTCTTGAAGTCTTAAATTAGATTTTTGAAATCACTTTCACATCATCTTTTGCATTAATATGCATCAAATACCTATGGAAGATTGTCTCCGCCACTGGATAAAAAAAAAAAACGTTGACTTTTTATCTCGCAATTCTGACTTTTTTTCGGAGATTCATGAGATATAAACTCGCAGGTGTGAGTTATAAAGTCAGAATTGCATTATATTAAGTCGCAATTAGTTTTTTTATACAGTGGCGGAAACAAACTTCCCTAAATATCTTTATATGAAATAAAAACTAAGGCTGAAGAAGTTTAATGTGTTATCATGTAAGTTCTTTGATATATCTTATGTTTCTACATTGTGTCTGTTGTGAAACAGCCGTAACACACAGATGTTGGTCATCAGGATCATCAGTCAGTTTGTTAAAGCGCTCTCTCTCTGTGTGTGTGTGTGTGTGTGTGTGTGTGTGTGTGTGGTACTGCAATCAGGTGTTGAGTAAGGAGATCGATGAGAGCGTGACGCTGCTGCTGCAGGAGCTGGTTCGATTTCAGGAGCGGGTTTATCAGAAGGAGCCCAGCAAAGCCAAAGCCAAGCGGCGGCTGGTCATGGGGCTGCGAGAGGTCACCAAACACATGAAACTGCACAAGATCAAGTGTGTCATCATCTCGCCCAACTGTGAGAAGATCCAGGCCAAAGGTGAGGCATTTACACTGCAGTTCTTGATTCCTTCTGACGACAGCTTACACCTACTTTAAAAAGTGACCCATATCCAATATCTGAATTTACACTATACACTTGGTTAAAAAAATCAAGGGTAGAATAGTGTTAATTTCATTAACGAAAAGTATGATGGAAAATGTTCGTCGACGAGCTTTTTTTCCCATGACTAAGACGAGACGATGACGAGACGACAATAAGGTCAATAAACGATAACTGTGACTAGATCAACATGCAATATCGATGACGAAGTTGGTATTTAAAAAAATAAAAACTACACCAAAATTTATTTTAATTTTTGTTGTAAAAAGGAGACAAAACATTATTGCGGACTGCTGTGCACGCCTCTGCTACACCAGCTTTCATGTGTGCGGTTGCCAGATATCAAGCGTTCAAATCCGCGAATCAGAGCTTCTCTGTTAAAAGGATACATTTTCCGCCTGGTGTTTTGCCTATTTTTGCAATCTGGCAACCATGCGCTAAAACTTGACTAAACAGAGCAAGGTTGACTAAATATGATAATAACTAAAAAAATAAATTTGACACCAGGAAAAACGGCGGACAAAATTAACACTAGGGTAGATGTACTGACAGGTTGCCAGGTCTGTTTAACCCGCGGCAACAGTGTTAAAAGTAGCCCAATTTGGCAACACTGACCCGGAAAAAGCATCCACCTGAGCTGACGTCATTTCGCCACGTCACTGTTTCAATGATGAAAGACTCGCTTGACGGGAATATCCGATCTGTCCGCTCACATAGCAGACGCCAGTGCACGTATCCCATTCATATCAGATTTATTTCCATATATGAAAGAGGCCTGAAAGCAGTCGGAGAATATCAGAATCCACAGCCTTTTTTCCGGCTTACACGTTCGTGGGTCATATCCGATCTGTGCCGCATGGAGGAAGAATCGGAATCGGATCACTTGAACCATGTGATCTAAATATGGCCTTAGACTTTCAGGTTGTCTCATTGTGAATCTTTGGTTTAAAGATCAAAACAACACCAGATGTCCCTGTCTCACTGTATTTTGTGATGTGTGTGTGTGTGTGTGTGTAGGAGGTCTGGACGAGGCCCTTTATAATGTCATTGCCATGGCAAGGGAGCAGGAGTTCCCGTTTGTGTTCGCTCTGGGCCGAAAGGCTTTGGGCCGCTGCGTGAATAAACTCGTGCCGGTGAGCGTTGTGGGGATATTCAACTACTCTGGAGCAGAGGTACACACAGTCACACACACACACACACAGATACAGACAGACACACACTCACACACACGCACACGCACACACACACACACACTCACACTCAAATTCACACTCACACACACACACACACACTCTCACACACACACACACACACTCATGCACGCTCACTCGATTCCTAGGGAACGCATGAACTGATCAAATATATGCTTGAAATGCATTGTCTGGATAAAAGCGTCTGCCAGATGCATGACTGTATCTGTGTGTGTGTGTGTTCAGGCTCTGTTCAATAAGCTGGTGTCTCTGACGGAGGAGGCGCGGAGGGCGTATAAGGACATGGTGAGCGCTCTGGAGCAGGAGCAGGCCGAGGAGGCGCTGAAGAACGTCAAGAAGGTCACGCACCACATGGGCCACTCCAGAAACCCATCCGCCGCCAGCGCCATCTCCTTCTGCAGCGTCATCTCCGAGCCCATCTCAGAGGTCAACGAGAAGGAGTACGGTAAGACACACTTTTAACGCCTTCTCCAGGGTCACATATTGTGATCTGATATTTTTGCCCAGCATTAGTGCAGAAACGCTGCTCAACTAAATCCTTGCGTCGTTCCGGTGAGCGTCTGACTGACTCTGAATCTTCTCTCTGCAGAGACCAACTGGAGGACGATGGTGGAGAGCGCAGACGCTCCAGAGCCGCTGGAGACCAAACCCGTCAGCAGAGCGAGCAGCAAAGAGCAGCCGACAGCCAGCCCTGACCCGAGCCCCGCAGCCGCTCGCGCTCCAGAGAGAGACGAGTCCCGCACAGACGACCGGCTGGAGCGCGCCTCGCAGCAGAGCACAGACACCGGCTCTCTAGACGGCAGCTGCAGAGACCGGCTCAACTCCTCCATCACCAGCACCACCAGCACACTGGTGCCCGGCATGCTGGAGGAGGAGGAGGAGGAGGAGGAGGAAGAGGAGGAGGACTACACCCCCGAGCCCATCTCTGTGCAGGTGCCGCCACTCAGCTCCAGGATCGAGTCCTGGGTCTCCAAAACCCTGGAGAACCTGCAGCTGCGCAGCCAGAGCAGCACCGAGGACGAAGACGAGGAAGAGGAGGAGCTCGACTCTTCTGACCTCGCTGAACCGGCGGTCGACGACAAAGACGCGGCGGATTCGTCCACAGGATGAGGTCGCAGCGCACACGTTCCACAAACACTGACTCAGGAAACTCTAACGGACAGACCAACTGCTCACACGCTCTCTGTGAATAACTCGCGCGACTCTACGTCTCCAGATGACGTTCAGGCTGCTCTTCAGCATCACGATGCTCCAGAAATCACACAGAAGCATCATAACAGTCATCATATGCTTCGTTTAGATTTGGGTGAAACCCATATACCTGTATATCTCAAATCAGGCATTCACAAAGTGGTTCTGTTGTGCGACCGGACTTGAAGGGATCATCATGTACTCACCCTTGTGTTGTTTCAAACCTTCTATGGAACATAAAGACATTTTGAAGAACATTTGGAAACAACCTACTTTGGACCCCATTGACTTCCATTACATGGACAAAAAGTACTTTCTTTTGTGCTCCTCTAAAGAAAGCCAGTCATACACGTTTGAGGGAGACTGAACGATGACAGAATGAGCATTTGTGACTGAACTATCCCTTTAAAATATGAGATCTGAGAGCTGTATGAATCATGATGCTTCACGGTGTTTTTGTGCTTCTGCGTGAGAAACGAGCAGCTTGACCGTTCTGCTGAACATCTCATCCATGTTCCACTGAAGGAATAAAGTCATGCGTTTTTAAAGTGAGTAAATGATTCACGGTTTGGGTGAATGATCTTGTGGACTCTCATCTGAACGTGTGTTTCGTTTAACCAGGAAGCATTAACAAACGCTGCAGAAGAGAAACAGCATTAGTTTGTGCATAATGAATGAATCCTGTGTATATAACATGTTTAAATGTTTCTAATATTCTCGTCTTCGGTTCTATTTATCGCGCTTGAATTCAGAGCGATTCGGAGGGCGTTTAATTTCACGTGCGTCCTCGGATTGAATGGTTTCTCTTGGTACTGATGGGACAGATCCGTCTCTTTCTCTGTGTTTGGAGTGATCTTCATCTGTGTGTCTTTTGCACTATGTACATAAACGTGAACATGCTTTGGTAACTAATGTGAAACTAGCACATGTGTTTTCCAGCAGCTCTGATGCTGAAGTCATGCAGTAACTGTTCTCTGACTGATCGTTAATACAATTAAACTGTTTTCAGTAAACTATCTACTGTGCCGTGTGTTTTAATGGTGTGTGTGTGTGTGTGTGTCTGTGTGTGTGACAGTGAGTGTGTGTGTGTCTGTGTGTGTGACAGTGAGTGAGTGTGAGTGTGTCTGTGTCTGTGTGACAGTGAGTGTGAGTGAGTGTGTGTGTGTGTGTGTGACTCTTTACAACTTCAGGGATCTTATCTATGCACCAAGAGCTTGTAATACTCCAAAGAGAAAGGAACAATTGAAATCACATCATATGACCCCTTTAAGAACCAGGGTTGTCCTCTGGATATATTGTGAGTTTTATTTATTTTATTGGGGAGAAACTGCCATTTTTGAGTAACAAACCATTTAGAAAATAAGCCTGTGATCACAAACTACTGGAAAACTCACGTAAATTCATAGCTCTTTAACTGAGTGAATCCTGAAGAACATTCACTTTCTGTTGAATTAAAGAATGTAATTATTTTATCAAATGATTTGACTTGGTTGCCAAAAGTTTTGTCATTACAGCAGACATTTTAAATAAATTTTTAGTATTATTTAGATACTATTATAATTTTTACTAATATTTTTGTTAGCTTTAATTTTCATATTTTCTGTTTTCGTTTTAATTTTAGTTGAATTTTTGGTAAATTTTTAATGTGCTTTTGTCATTTTTATTATTAAATATCACTATTTAGGTTTCATTTATTTTCATTTAATTATAACTTATTTCACTCTTAAAGGGATAGTTCACCCCAAAATATAAATGTGATGTTTATCTGCTTACCCCCAGGGCATCCAAGATGTAGGTGACTTTGTTTCTTCAGTAGAACACAAATGAAGATTTTTAACTCAAACCGTTGCAGTCTGTCAGTCATATAATGGAAGTGGATGGGAATCACGGCTTTGAGAGTCAAAAAAACATACACAAACAAAACCAAATTAAACCCTGCAGCTCGTGACGATACATTGATGTGTAAAGACACAAAACGATCGGTCTGTGCAAGAAACTCAACAGTATTTATATAGTTTTTTTACTTCTGATGCACTGCAATGTCTGAACTGTCCTGAGCGCGTTCGCGTCTTCTTCTTCTTGCTTTACGGCGGATCGCAGACTTATAAGTGCATTACCGCCACCTATCTCTCAAATGGACCATTGACACTCCTAATTGAGATTGTAGATCGAGTGTCAATGGTCCATTTGAGAGATAGTGGATTAAAACGTTTTTCAGGAGTCGCGGCAGTAGAGGCGGCGCAACTAACGACATGTGAATAATCCCGCCCACTCTAAAGCGGTACTGAACTGCAGTGGAAACGCAAACCGAGTCGAGTTGTACCACGCAGTGGAAAAGCGTCAAAAGTATCTCCGAGACTTGACTTGAGCAAAACGGTCAATTACCATGCTAGTATTTATAGTGCTGAGAATTCCTTTTTCAATTGACAGAACAGCCAAATGGTTGAGTCTCTTCTGGCCCATTGTTCGCCTAAGCCATGTATGTAGACGACGCAATGCACTAAATGACCGCTCACAGCTGGAACTGCTGACAGGTATTGTAAGAGCTGCTTGAAAAACCAAGCTCAGGGTAGGAAACATGTCGGGATCAAGAAGTTTGTAAGCACTGGCCATGTCAGAGACAGCACCCTCTTTCTTCTTTTTTGCCAGGAACTGTTTCGCTACCAGAATTTCCTCTTTACAAAGTTGGATTTTGTAATGTGCTGCAATGAGGTTTAGAGATTCCTCACTAAGAAAGTCATCAGCTGCTGGATTGCAAGCTTGAATGCCCTTCATGAGCTTTTCCCCAACACCAGAAAATCTGTTGCTCAGCTCACTTATCATGCGGTCAAGACATGGATACAAAAGATGATGTTTAAGTTGGTTGCCAGTATCACATGGAGCCCTAGTGCCCAAAGTGGAATCCACTGCGTAATCATCCATCCGCCTCTGCTTACGGCGGGGACCAGACAGGATCTCTGAGATGTTATTGGACTCGCAAATTACTTTTGTCTCCTTGTAGAGCTGTTCTGCTGTTTCTTCACTGCTCCGCATTAAGGTCAGTGTTTCAAGAACAGCATCTTTGTAGAGTGTTGCTTGTGCCAGGTCCACAGATTCTTTCTGGAGATACTTATGGAGCCCCTCTGTAGCAGATAGCAAACTCTTGAACATTACAAGCATGTACACACTAGAAAACCTGGACAGTTTTGACAGCAGCCCAATTGCTATGGGTGTAGCAACTTTTTCCAGGCATCTTAACAAAGCAGTCAGATTTTCAAGCACAGCTTTGACTGAGTTGAGCTGGCATTCCCATCTAGTTTTAGAGAGCTGGACAAATTCACTGTTCTCTAAACCTAGTTGTTTCTGTGTGTCATGAAATGCTTGATGATTGACCATTGATGCACCTAAAGAAGGAATACACATTCCCTAATGTTTCAAAAAAGTCATCTGCCTCTGGTACAGCCCTACAAGTGTGACAAAGTACCAAATTCAGTTCATGGGCATAACAATGCACGTAAACTGCTTCAGGGTGCTTCTCGCGGAAACGAGCTTGAACTCCACCAACTTCACCTTTCATTACTGAAGCCCCATCATAGGTTTGAGCCACACAGAGGACATCATTCAAACCTTTCGATTTTAGCACACGTTCAATTGCATCAGTGATTGACTCTGCACTGAAACTGTTGAGGCTGGACAGTTCAATGAAGTGCTCTTTTACTGTGCCTTTAGCTGTGACATAACGTACACATACAGCAAGCTGCTCAACATGGCCATCCCTTGCTTCATCGGCCATAACTGCAAACATTTTTTGATTTTTTCACCTCTTCAACTATGCAGGTAGTTATTTCTTCTGCACAGCACTCAATCATCTCATTTTGCGAAGATGGACAGAGATAAGTAGCATTTGAAGGTGGTTTGTAGCTTTGAAGGAAGGGATCAAATTGCTCCAGGAGCTTCATTAACTCCAAGCGCCAAAAGTCACCTACATCTTGGATGCCCTGGGGGTAAGCAGATAAACATCACATTTCATTTTTGGGTGAACTATCCCTTTAAGCTTATTTCCAAGGCAGCATTTCTAATTTTTGTTTAGATTTGAATCTAATATTTATGTTATTTCAGCTTTATTTCAGTTAATAAAGATTTATGTCTTCATGAGAAGCTATGGAGTCCAGACGATGCTAGCAGAGGTGGAGCAAGTTTAGATTATATTTCTTTATAATAATGTCACTGATAAGAGCCGGCGTGTGTACTGAGAAAGTAAACAGGGTCCGTTTCGATCTCAAACTTGGTTAAAATTGTTGAAACACTTGCAGTCAGAAGGTGGCGCTCTTGTCTGAGCGCAGACTGAAGCTCCAGGAGAACAAAGCTGGCACAGATCTGAAGTCAGAAAAAACACGAAACATGCAGAGAGACGCTTCAGACTGCTGTAAAATCTGACAGTCAGACAGAAGTGCTTCCAGATTGAAGCTATGATTCGTGTTGAGTGTGAGTTTGGGTGGAGGAGGCTGACGTCAGACAGCTGCTCACATTCATCTCACACCTCTCTCTCTCTCTCTCTCTCTCTCTCTCTCTGTCTCTCTCTCTGTCGCTTTCCAGAACTCCTCAGATTCTGTGCGCTGGACAGAAGAACAGAGACCTGTCAAATGCTGTGCTGTTGTGGCTGGTTGCCGGGGTTCTGCTGTGCGGTTGCTAGGGTGTTCTGAGTGTTTTCGCAGTCAGATGTCCTAGTGAAGTCAGAGCACAGCTCTCAGACGGTTTAACCCACGCTGACTATAGCAACACAAACAGCTGTGATAGATCAATGCAGAAGAGTGAATGTTTGACAGCGGCTCTCGTCTGACAGATCAGTCACGGAGTGTCTGAAAGCGTTACGGGTTGTTTGGAACAAACACCACAATGATTCCTGATTTCTGTAATTCATGTTTTTAAAATCTCACGCATCTTGAATTCAGCCTTAATGCCAAAATCACGAGATTCCAGTGCATTAAGTGTTGAGAAGTGGCGTTATTTCCCAGCATGCACTGCCCAAGGCCAGTAACGCTTTTGGAATTCATGTTTTTGATTATGAGAGCGATCGGCAGACATTTGCATTTGAAACACAAGATTCAGCTTCAAGCTGGGAACGCTGTTTGTGTTCATGAATTCAGACATGACTGAACACGTCTGTAGATGAGAACACGCTACTTTGTTTGCAAACAACAACCGGTCACGCACACATCAGACTCCTTTTAGACCAATGGATGCTCTGCAGTGAATGGGTGCCGTCAGAATGAGAGTCCAAACAGCTGATAAAAACATCTCAATAATCCACAAGTAACCCACACCACTCCAGTCCATCAGTTAACATCTGGAGAAGACAAAAGCTGAAACACATCCAGCATTAAGACATTTTTAACTAAAATAC